AATTATTTACATCATTAGAATAATAAGCAATTATCAATAAATATAAAGAAAATTTAAGTTTTATCATTATTTCTTATGATTATTATTATTTATGATTATTACTATTATTATTAACTATTATTACTAACTATTATTACTAACTATTATTATTATTTATTACATTGCTTTAACTGTAAATCTAATTTTTTCATTGTTAATTCATACAGCATCTTTGATTGTTCCTGCTCATATTCCCATTTTTGCTTCTCAACTTCCAACTTTTGTGATTGAAGTTTAAAATTATTATTTATTCTTTTTCGTTCTAATTCTAATCTTTGTTCAGAGATTTTAATTTTTGTTTCACTGATGTTATTCATAACCTCAAACCAAGATTCAATATTATTTTTTTTTTTTTAATTACCTTTCTATTATCTTTCTCACCCTTCATATTTTGATTATTATCCATTTTATTACTGATATAACCTGATTTTTTATTTAAAAGATATGAAGGTAAAATATTTTCGCGACATCTGAAAATTTTATCCATAATATCCATCCATTTCTAGTCAACTCATCCTAATCCATTTTGATTGTTTTCTTACTTCACTTTGCCATACTTTTTCAAGAGTCTATTCAATCGCCCTTTAATACTTTCTGCAGTTTTTGATTTAATAATATCTCTGGAAACTAAAGCATAAAATTCAGATTTTTTTCCCTTTTGATATTTATTGAAATTATCTTCCAGATAAATCAATAGTTTATATGTTTCGTCATTACTTCATCTATCAATAGTTTGAGGTTGATCATTAAAAATTTTTCGCTTTTTCTTTTCTTGTCTTAATTTCTTCACTTTTTTCAAATTCTAAATTGATTTCAAAGTCAGTTACCAAAATACTTAATTATAAAAGCTGAGATTTTATTCTCACCATTAAGTTCTCTTGATCAAAATCCTCTTGATATCGGGGATCAAGTTCAGAATTAACATCATATAATAAAAAACCAGTATTTTCCTTAGGCTAAAGAACATTAGTTTTATGCAATAAATTATAATCATTTGATCTTTCCCTTATAGTAGTATCAATGATAATGTTTGACCTTTTTATTACTCGAGTGTTTATATCAGCAGCTATTATCAGAGTACTTGGTTTTAATACTTGAGTTACCTGACTTAGATGTTAATTGAAAATTTAAAATTTGTCAAGAAGAGCTATTAACCATTTGAGTATATGATAACTTTGGAGCTAAAGGTCTATATTTTCGTAAGTTTTGGTTATTTTTATAGCTTTAAGAACCTTGAAAACTATTAGCGTCAACTTGACAAGAAGACATTTTGACAATTTTTGACGAGAAAATTTTTGTTTCTCATGCTTCTGGTTGGTTGATGTGATACATTATTTTTTTTGAACTAAAAAAATACCAATTTTTTTGTTTTTAAAGTTCAGAATTAGTTCACGTCATACAAAAAGATCAGTCTAATCAAATTTAACAAAAACTGAATAAAAAACCTGACTGACCAGAAATGAATAGGCCTATTATTAGTTGGTAGCCTATTGCTTTGTAATAAATTTCTGATTGGTCTATATTAAAGAAATATAATTGGTTGAATTTTTAACAAAAAAAATGTAACATAGTAAAATTATTTATATTAATTAAATAATATTGGATTTTTTAATTTTGTTATTTATCTAAAAAATAATTTAATAATTACAATTAACTCTTAATATAGTGAACTCTTTGATATAATGAATTTTTTGAATAAATATAATAAAAATACTCTTATTATAATGAATTGATCAATCAAATCTCTTAAAATCTTCACTATAATCTTATAGTGAAATTGAGATTTAAGATATAGAATTCATTATAATAAGAGTTAACTATATTAATAATTCATATATATTTATATATTATTATAAATTAATTTATAAATTTATTTATATAATTACAAAGTTTTTCTATATATAATATGATTATTAATATTAAATCAGTGATCAATAATAATAAGAGATAATTATATTGTATTAGTCAATTTTGATTGTTAATTATCTAATTAAAAATCATATAATTTGTAATAATAGATTCTAAATATTATTAATTTATAAAATTCATATTCTATATTTTTTGTAATGAGAAAGTTCAGATTAATATGACTTATAAGATTCTGATAAAATTTATAATAAAGATTTTAAAAATTTTATTAAAAATTTAAATTGTATTGCTTATAAAAATTTTGACAAAATTATGTTTAATTTTTAATGTTAATTTTGAAAATTTTTAATATATATAATATATAAGAATTTAGATCAATATTACTTGAAAAGTATATAAAGTAATTCATAATTAGGCAATTTAAGGCTAATCCTATAAAAAACTAATTATTAGTCTAGAGTGTAAGTGAAAAACTATTTATGTATGAGTAATAGTAATAAAAAATGTTTATCTGTCTGCTCAAAATTTAAGTTAATACGTAATTAGTTTCTTTTATTACACTTATGTTTTAAACTTAATAATAGTTTCTGAAACCATTCCCTAGTAATAAATAGATTTCTTTTTTTAGAAGTATATAATATTATATAATTAATTATTATTCATAAATAAAAATATAAAAATATAAAAATAGATATAAATATAGATTTCTCTTAAGAAGTAAATTGACTTTTTAGAAAATTTATATAATAATATAAAATTTAATAATTATTTTATATCCGTAATCTAAGGTAACTATAAGTATTTTTTTACTATATAAGTTTAATAAATATTTTATTATTTAATTTAATTCAATTTATATATATTAATACTTTTTATATTATTTTACAATTAAGCACTTTCTAAAAATAAATATCTTTATAGTATATTATCACCAGTTTTATTTTTAATTATCTTAATATTTAAGTTAAAAGGTTACAGTAGTTGATTCTATACATTGGAGTTTCTGACTTTAGAAAATTTTCTAAGTCTTATAGGTATTATGATCAATTCTTTAAGAGGCTTATGAGTGATAAGCGAAGTAATATTTATGGGTAGTAAGTAGAAGGTTTAATTTGATAATTAGATTTAGAAGAACGTTAGTAAATTAACAATTTATTTAATAACTATAACAATGAAGTATTATCTTAGTCAGTGCTCTATACTATATAATTATATTAAGAGAATTAAACTAAACTATTTAATAAAACTATAAGTCAGACACACCATTAAGCTAAAAGAAATTATCCTCTATTTTATATAAAATAAAAAATATAAAGTTATCAAAGATATAAAAGAAATAAATATAATAAATAAAATATATAAAATAAA